TGTTTGAAGAAATAAACGGCACTGGGTTGCAAGCAATGGCCAATTATGTGGGGGAACATATTAAAAAAGCGGAACATGTAAATTGCCACGACAGAATAAAGAGACTGTTTTTCCGTGCACGAATGTTCATCAGAATTCGAACTCTGAACAGACAGATTTCTGATAGTACACGCTCTCGAAAGCGGAAATATCGTAAAATAATAAAATGAGGTAAGGTGAGATACACTTATTTCCATAAGATTTTATACTACAAATAATTATTTTCGATTACACTTTTCAGCAACTCCAAAAATCGTTAAAAAATTGGCGAACCGCGGCTGATAACCCACAATAATGACTATGCAATTCAAGCGTTGATTGTGTATTTTTATGTAAGTATACAATACACCTCCCACCATGCAAAACATGAGAAATAGGCAACAATCGTCAATGGCAACAAATTGGCGACTCACCGATTTATTGCTGTGGTGACAAATCGGCAACACCACTTCGTTCATGTCAATTTTGAATAAAAAAGTTCTCAAAAATTCGGAAACTTATGAATATGGCGTCAATAGCATTGGCCAAAAGCATCTAAATTATGCCCAAGGACAAGATTGAAAAAAAAAAAATAGGAAGTCTCACAGCGAGAAAATGAATTAATTCCGATTGTAAGTTGCAATTTTTATACAAAAAAATAAATGAAGTATTAAGAAGAATAAAATTATTCCAAATATCGCCTGAAGCGATAAGAAAAGGACTCATTCAGGTAATAAGAAAACGACTCACCCAGGCGAGTTGCCTTCGGCGGACGTTTTAGAGCGACCGGTAATAGGAAATCGATTCGATGACAATATTACCGGCAATAAATTTGTTTCCGAGGGCGACACGTTTTCTTATTGCCGGCAACACAAATTGTTTGGTGGGCTTTCTTATGTACATTTTTAAACTAATTTAATCATGTACATACATTTGTATTTTTTGGTTGGTCTTTTTTCGATACAGGTTATAGCGCCAACTCAGTACTGGACGAACTACTTCAACCAGCTAGAATCAAGCAATTTATTCACTAAGCAAAAGTAAGTATACGCCGAAACCACCACTTTTTTAAACCAAACTATCTTTATTTGTAGTTTGTTAGTAAATCATTTTACATATTTTTCAGATGAAATGTATCAAGTTCCACGGTGGTCCCTTTCGAGACTTTTGCTCCTCACACAACCGCGTGGACACCTCTGTTGTAATGTTGAGGAGCGATTATTCCTGGAGCTATAAATTTTATGCCGCAGAATCAAGCGCACCACATGCACATGTCGGAGATATGAACTAACTAAACACAGGTAATTTTACGAGAACACCACTATTTTTCACTTTTATTCATCGACAAAAGAGTTAATTTAACACAACAACGCGTTTTCCAACATTTATTTTTATTAATATGCCACAATTTGTTAGAAATTTCCTAAATCAATCGTCTGTGAATCAATTTTGGTTGTTTCGTTTACATTGTTTTGTTTATTTTTCCAGCGAAACAAGATGGCGTAGAACCCGCTCAAAAAATCGACTTTTTTCACTCTCTTGTTCTTACGTGATCTTGTGTCTTTCGTTCATGGATATATATCCAACCATCCAAACATATGTACACACATGAAAACATTGGTGTCCATAGGTACATACATACATATGCCCATCAGCACATCAACAAAGCCCGTTTGCTTCATCATAAATATATCCATACAAACATATGTACATATGTACGAATTGATATAGTTACGCGAAGCACGCTTGCATCATTTATACATATATTGCTTGGTAGCGGCAGAGCTGAAATGTGCAATGAGTTCGTTCACTCATGTAACGTTTTCAGTTTTAAAAATTTCACTCTCCATTTTTGCGATACCGCCGCCTAAGAAGTTTCACTTAAAAAAAAATCGATAAAAGGTTCCTCTTACCAAACCTAGTCTATTCTATGTTTTTGGGGTCGCTGAACACTTTCTCTGTAAAGTAAAATCCGAGATGTTTTTTGAGGTTAGAAAATAATCCAGACTTGGTGGAGCAAAATGGACTTCAGATTCGTGTTCAGCGACCCCAAAAACATATAACAGACTAGGTTTGGTCAAAGGAACCTTTCATCGATTTTTTTTGTGGACCTGTCCCTGCAAGAACAGTGACAATCATTTGACCGGTAAAATGACGGACAATCCTCATAGAAATACTCGTCATTTCTTTGTATGAAAGTTTCTATCAAAATATTAAGGGCAATGTGCAAAATTTGATGGAAAAAATCGTATACATGTGAATCATCAATGATATAAACATTGGTCAATAATCATGCTTGATGGGATCTTAGGTCAGTATTGACAAATCATACTTGCTATAAAAGTTGGTCAAATATGACTGATCACAATTTGTGAGTTTCGACGTCATATTAAACAACATGAGCTTTTCTCTGCACATAGCATTATTAAAATTTTTTGTTTAATTTTAAAACACTTTAATTATTTTTCTAAATACTTATCGTTTATTTCTTAGCACTTTCTTGGTAAAACTTTCGACAGCGTCCTTTCGTTTCTAGATTTTTTTATTGTGATTTATAATGATGTACATATTTTATTTTCTTGTGAACCTTTCCATCTTCAGTGACAATCATATAACCGGTCAAATGATAGTCACCGAAAAAAATCGTATTCTATCAGCATTGTCAATCATATGACAGGTAAAATGTTTGTGACTTTTCTACCCGACTCGACTGGCATATACATTTTTGCATAAGTGTTAATTTTACTTGTGAATGTGTTGGAGTTTTAGTCATTCGCGTCTTGTAAGGTGTGTTATTAAGCTGGCAGCCGCACTGCAATTATTGGGGCAAGGAGGATACCAACACCAAATTGGTGAAGGCCAACACGTAGGCCTTTCTCAGCAGTTTATGTCACGCTGCCTCATTGAAGTGTGTAAATCCATTGCGAAAACGCCAATATATCAAATTGCCGAGGCTTTATATTTGGTTGTTTGGTTTTAGTTGTCCTAAAAATGATTTATTGCTTAAAAGAATACATATTTTCTTAAATATTATTGCAATTACTTACATTTTTGTGGGCGTCCGAGTGTTTGGTTGCTTTCGAAAAGAATTTTCTACAATTCCACCATTTTGGCATTTGTTTTAGATGCAGGGAGTACCAAATTTCCGAAAATTCGAAAGGGGATAAACAAAATTCGAAAGGAACATAATGGAACTCGAACACCGAACGAATGTTACTCGAAAGGTGCTTTCAGAGCACGGTTGCCATTTCCAATCTATTTTTCGAACCAAAAAATGGACCAAAAGGTAAAAAATTGACCAATTTTTATTACATCGGGAAATTGAGTGGAGTTTATTCCTCTTTATCAAGAAATTATGGCAATTCAGTTTTTATATTGCATCCAAAGTGCATTACAATCGGAGGGGTTAGAATCAAAAGGATCTAAGATCTGAAATTTTTTGAGATAATTAAGGTTAAAATTGATTACTTATTGTAAATTCTGGGTAAATGCATTTGAAATGATTCTTGTCTAAATGAATGCATGTGAATTAACTAATTCAAAGAATGTTTACCCTTTGTCACCAAATAAACACTATATTTAACTATACAAATATGGGTATAACTTATATTTTCAAAAAATGTCGCTTAGACCCTTATGATTCTAACCCCTTCAACTGTATATTATTAACATTATAATGCTTAATGTTTTAAATTTTAATTTGTTTCTTAATTAACCTTAATCAAAGATTTTGCGCTCAGCTGCTGCGGAACTGTGAGGCAGACTAAAAATGTTATGAACTAAATCACACAATTCTCCAAAGGCCGCTTCACCCAATCCATTTTTAATCAAACTTACTTTATTCCAAAAACGTTCTATATTGGTACAGTTTTTGAAGTTACCTTCACTCAGCCTCAATTTGTGAAACTGAAATTCAATTATGTCTGCATCATTTACCAATGCAGGAAATTGGTCGAGTAGCGGCAAAATTGATACATCAGTATCAAAAAGAACTTCATGTAGTGTAATAATTTCAAGATGTTTAATATCCTTTCGATGAAATCGAATATTATTTTCATGTGCTAAATGCTATGGTTAAAGTTTTGCTTCCTTTCCATATTTTTGCCAGCCGCTTTAATATTGGTCCGCGATATTTTTTAAGCGTGCTTTGACAGATGATTAGCCATATTTGAAGATCAGTGGCAAGGCGAGTTCATACTTTTATCAGGTGTTGCCAATCGGCCCTATGCTGAATATGACGATCGTCAGCGCATCAGTAACATGATTGGCGATGGCCGTATCGTTGCTTTACTGACGATGACGATATTCAGCATAGGACGAAATATTCATCAATTAAATAGAAAAAATTTAAAACGCGAAACTATTGCATGAAGTGAATGGGTGATAATAACCTAACCAAAGGCTTGTGAAATGGACCATTTTAAAAAGTATTGGACCAATGGACCAAAGAAAAAGAAATGGACCAAATTTGGTCAATTCAAACAAAATACACACAACGCCGAAACCGGCTTGTCTCCAAACCAAATTTGACAAGCGATGACGGAAACTTGTTCCACATTACATCACACTCCTACCCTGTCGGCAACACCAACAACGAAAATCAAACAAAATACTTTAGGATTTTCTTAAGGTTTTTGCACAACGTTGGAACTTCATTAAACTGTACTGTAAAAAGTTAAGAAGTAAGAAGAAAATAATTTCGTTATACATAGTTGACATGTTTCAGATAATAGCTCTGATCCAATACTTTTCGTGAAAAATCCTGTAAAACTGTCAAACAGCAAAATTACTCTCTGAAGTGATAGTAAAAAGTGAGTAACAACAAAAAGCACGGGAACAAAAAATCCATTTTTCCTGTAAAAACGTCAACCAGTGATTGCTTGACACTTTTCATGATTTTACCAGAAGAAAAAGTTCGGGTAAAATCTTGCAACTTCATTCCCTACACAACTCTCCAAAAGTCGCTCTCATTTAGAGGATTTTGGAGGATTTTGGAGTACGGGAACATTTTTCCTGCAACTTCCTGCAAGTTCGTGTAAAATCCTGTAAGTTCATGGAGTACTGGATCAGAGCTAATGTTTCATATCCACAAGAAATTAATACAACAAAAAGTCCAATCGTTTTATGTGCATATCGCCGGGTTGTTACGTACCAGTTGTGATAATATGATGGTGCTTAAATTATATAAAAAGAAGGCTGTAGTTTTCTTGTCGAGTGTTGCTAGTTATCTCGAAAATAACTTTCAGTTTAATACCTAACAACAAATTGAAATAGTCGAATAGCTTTTGTCCATAACTTACAACTCTTTTTCACAATTTACTAACATTGTAAAAGAGTTTTGCATACAAGACATAGAGTTAGATACTCTTTTTAGCGAATTATTAGCCTTTCAAAGTTTTTGCTTAGTTGAAAAAATTAATTTGAGCCATGAGGAATTATAGATGAAGTCCTTAAATAGAGATACTTGTCCACAGTTTGAAAAAATATGTAATTTTTATTTTCAATACCACACTCAAACGAAGCAACTAGGAGGATCTTAAGTTTAAACTTTGCTTCCTGTCGCAAAGAGAGAAACCGGCTTCTAATTGAAATTATTTAAAGTGAACTTCATATTACAAGTAATTTTAAAATGAAATGTATAGAATTCTTTGACTATTTAAACACTGAAGATGGAAATGATCTCATTATTGCTATTCAAAAATGTCAAATATAAAATATTTTATTGGCTTCTGTGTACAATGATATGTACACTCATGTTAAAACGAATAACACTTTTATTTTTTTTACAACGCTTTTATCAACTTGCAATGTTGTGCGTCCAGAAACTTTCAATGTTGTGGATCCAGAAACTTTCAATGTTGTGTGTCCGACACCAAAGCAAAGCTTTGAAAAGTTCCTATAAAAAAGCATAGTGCATAGGGCGACAGCTGTAGTGAATAGGGCGAGGTAGATGACATCTAGATGTCGCCCTATGTACTACGTTTGCTACAGCGAAAATAGACGACACGCCATTTCTTTAAATAAAATTAATTGGTGCTCGTTTGTATGTACATACATATGTAAATGCATGTGTGTGCACCTTTCTATTAATACCGTTGAATTATTTTACTATCTATTGCAAACTTTTATTCAGACAGGACTAAAAAGTAGAAAATAAATAATATAAAAAAACTTTTTAATATACAACGCTTTTATAAATGGACTAAAAAGTAGAAAATAATATTTCTCAGTCCCATAGAACTTGTTTTGATAACTTTTGATTTTGAAATTTTAGTAAAAGTCATTATAAACAATCTATGAA